ATTAAAGTTTGACCGGGTAAAAAGTGAGTGAGAAGAACATTTTAGGACGGAGGGAGTATTTTTTATAGTATATATTTATATAAAATAAAGATTGAGTAATTAGAGGTTGAAGACTATAAAATTATTACCCCGGAATTGAATAGTTAACACCATTGCTCCAAAAAACTACTAAAGTTTACACAAATACTCTAAAATGCCAACTAGACTTAATATGTGAATTTTAGATGGTTACATGACAATTATTTAACTATGAGTTGACAAGTAATAAAAAATAAAAAATAAAAGAAATACGAGAGTAAAACATTGTGTGAAGATTTCTCTAAAACATTCTAATTGGTTTAAAATTTTTCTATAAAATTTCAATTCCTCACGTATAATGTGGTCTAACTACCCTAAAAAATGCGCATATTTTTTTTTTTGAAAAATTTACTCGAATATTTTAGATTTTTTTATTAATTACCAACTCATACTTAATGATTGTCTAGTCACCATCTAAAATGTCACATGTTTATCTTTGTTGTCAATCAAAAATATTAGTGCAAAAATTAAGTAATTTTTGGGAACAATGAAGTAAATTATTTAATTTCAAAGTAATAACGTAAAACTCTGAAAATCTTAGAGCATATTCGTGTGAATTTTTAACAAATTTAAATGAATAAAGAAATTCAATTTTAGTGGAAGCAAATATTATAGTAATTCATTCTTCAAAGGTGAAATCGCTCACCCCGGGCGCCCCTCACCCCCGACCCGACGGAAATGTGAGAGGAGATAATCACGGTGACCCAAGCACAACACTTAGCTAGACCATATCCTAGTGCGCAACAGAGACTCCCCCAATTTTTCAGAGGTGGTTGTCTCCACAACGATCGCTGTCAGGTTTCGATTCTTGGTCATTCTCCAAACTTCACCAAGTGTTTGCCACTTGATCTACCGGTGCGGGTAGTAATTCATTGTTATTTGGGCAATGGAACGTGGGGACTGGGGACCAAATCCTACCTCTGGGATACTGTTAAAATTGTTGGGACCATCCCGATTCTGTGAAAAAATAAAGCGTAATTGGATAATTAATTTTTCTTTTCATTTTTTTGCTAGTATATACGGAATAACATTAGAATCAATATTAGGAAAATGACTAATATGCACATTAAGTTTTTGATTGAATTATTTTTTTAACGTTACACTCCCTCCGTTCCTGAGTATTTGTCCATTTTTGACTTTTTTCGGTCAAAATTGGTAAACTTTGACCTCAAATTAAATAAAAATGATATTAGATATTGATACAAAAAGAGTTTTATTAGATTTGTTATATCAAATATTTTCAAAATATTAATTTATTTCATTAAAATACAATGTATATTTTATTTAATTATAGGTCAAAGGTTAAAGACAGTTAACCGAAAAGAGTCAAAACTAGACAAATACTCAGGGACGGAGATAGTATTAGAATTTTGATGACCAAAAAAAATCACAAGTTCAAATCTCTCACGTGCAAGATTCGAGCAAAGAATATATCCCGTCTGCAAATGCAGGGGCCCTCGTGTTAGAATATAAAACATATCATCAGGTACCCTGCTGATTAAATTAATTGCTCACAAAATCTCACTTTCAACGTACTTTACAACCCCTTTTGCACTCAAGGAAATGACAACGAGGCTATTTATAAGTAGTGTTAGAGATTGTCGTCAGCATTTTGGATGAAATTTTAACGGTGTAGATTACCTTGAAAACGTTAAACGCTGCTCGTAAATAACTTTTTCAAAACGTTAACGCTAATCTCTAATGTTACTCCTAAAGATATTTAGTATCGCTTCGTGTTAGGGGTGGACAAAAATACCGGTCCAACATTGTTCCGAACGGAAGATTAATTCTATGTCCGCCCAATTCCGCCAATGCCCAAACGGACTCATAATCCATGGGTTGGCCCGCCGTAACTCGAACTAATTGTAAATACAAAAAGTCCCCATTCCCCACGGCCGCTGGGCCCCACCACCCTACCCTCCGCCCAAAGGGACCACTGCCCTTCTCTCTGATATATCAGCTGGGTGCTGGGTGCCCTCTGAGCACTTTGAAAATGCTTCGTTAAGAATAAAAATGTCCTCAAACTCCAAAGAAGAAATGGGAAGGTCCCACAGAAACTTATGTGAAGAGAAAAAAAAAAGAAAGCACACTACTCTGTGTAAAATTAAAAGTTGTTTGGTACTTTGGTTGATAGAAATGAATTACCACCTCTGTCCCCTTCAAAAATTTTGGGGGAAAAATTAAATTGTTTGACATTTTAAAAATGAGCCCGGTTCCATGGCCACTGGATTCCAGTGGCCACGGAAGTCACTGTCCCCCTACGAAGCTCCGTTCATAAAATTGATGATTCCTACCTACTCTAATCCTCCCGGTAAACCCCCCGCCAAGTCCCGACCCAAACTAATCACCCCACCTATGTCAATTGCACCTCGTAAGTATGAAGTCAAATCTTTTGAATTTAAGTCAATTATACTTACGAGGTGCAATTGACGCAGGTGGGGTGATGAGTTTGGGTCGGGACTTGGCGGGGGGTTTACCGGGAGGGTTAGAGGGGGTAGTAATCATCAATTTCATAAACGGAGCTCCGTAGGGGATAGTGACTTTCGTGACCACTGAAATCCAGTGGCCATGGAACTGCGCTGTTTAAAAATATATTACATATATTACTAGTAATTGGGGTCTGGTGGAGAACACCCGAATTAATTCTTCTCATCACACTCTGCGTTACATCTAGCAAGATGATGAATTGGAAAATTACTCTCCTACAGAACAAATTTACGTGTTTATGACCAAAACATTTGTGTAAAAAATAAATAATAAAATCGTTTGAGTGTTGAACTATTAATTTGGTTCATGTAAATTAAATAATACGGAGTAGAATGAAGAGAAATAAAAAAGTTTAAGTCATTATTAAGTCCTATGTAAGGAATAAAAAAAATTTAAGTTCTACATTGAAAAAATCATTATGTTTTAATCCTATTTAGTGCAAATTTTACTAGAATGAATCATGAGTCATAATAAATAAGATCCATATTTTCTACACTCGACCAAAAGCAAAGATCCATGTGTTTTTTTCACTACAGTGTTCAAATTGAATTCTTTCCCCTCAATTTCAAGTTTATTTCTTTGTCGTCAAACGTGTGCTAATCAAAAGAGGCTCAAACATACATTATTGATCTCCTCCATAATTTTTCTTCTTTTTATTATTGATGTAATTCAATTTTTTTTAATATGGTTCAATCCCAGTATCATATGATCTAATCCACTGACATGTAATCCATATAACTCGATTATCTCAACCAAGAACTTAAAAATTTGTAGTTGTAGGTTACTCAATGTTTTATCCTTTGACATTACTTGGAGCTTTATTGTTCACATCTCTTTGACTCGGGCCCCGCTCCCGGGCAAAATTTATAATATTATTGAATGAGTGTTCGATCACCCAACTCGTTAACATTTCTTATTAAAAGTCCATGCGATCTAAGTAAATCGAATTACATAAAATAGTCGATGATACTATAATCACTAACAGTTTTGATTTCAATTTCAACCAATCAAAATATTCCGTATCTAAATTATGAAATTACTGATTTTTTGATCACGCTACTTTTAATCTTTTTAATAAACATGTTTTATTTATACCTACTTGCTTACGTAGGTACACGTAGTACCTAGCCTCCGTGTGACACGCTATCAAGCTTCAACCATAACACATAGCACGAGCATCATAGCACGAGCATGTGTTTTTTGGTATACATACATACATGCAGACATACATACATATATACATACATGTATATATGTATGTATGTGTGTGTGTGTGTATATATATATGTATATATATAATAGTTCTGGTGAGAATGTGACCTTACAAAAGAAATAAGAATGAAACGGGTGCTTTAGATTGTGAGATCTAAGGGTTATGATTACATCAAAATTCGGTGCATCAAAATGATTTGAAAATGCATCGTGTCGAAATGCACTAAATTCCTTTGAAAATGCACTATCTCAAAATCCGAGTGCAGGATGCAATCTGAGTCGTACGATGCATTATATCAAAATGCTAGATTTTATTCTTATTTTTTTCACTAAGGTACATTTTCATGTGAACTGGCCCATAAACACACTCACATATCCGAGTATATATCTATACACACACATATAGTGATAGATGGAGAAGGAAAAAATTGGTGGGACCCACAATAAATTTTTGCTCTCCACAATTGAGAAAAAAACGTGAGGAAGAGGCCCGGGGCCGGGGGATCCAATGAATCCAATGAGGGAGCTTCATCAATTTTTTTCGTTTTTTTCTTCATCTTTTCTCTTTATTTCATCTTTTTTTTTCTCATTTTCTTTCTTTTTATTTTCCTACCACATCCAAAGAATCATAAATTTAGTGAGTATTTTTCTGTGCGGGTGTTTATAGGCTTGTTTGATAAGTAATTTTTAACTTATAAATTGCTTATAAATCAACTATTTTTTCGTGAAAGTAAAATGACTAAAATAATAGATATATCATTTGTAAATATTCATAAATAGTGATGGACAGTTTTGTAAATAATTTGATCAAACGAGAAACAAAAAAACTGACTTAAAAATCAATAAATAAGACCAACTTAATTTTATGGCTTATAAGCACACAGAAATATGTTATCAACGGACTTATAAATAAAAACTATTTATGAATAGTTTTCATCAACTTATAAGCCCATACAAATATGGAACATCACTTAATGTACAACAAACATGATTTTCGTAAATTTAATGTCCAACAAACATGATTCCCATTGAATAGTGGTCCTATTTTTTTAACAGCCTACTGTAAATCTGTAATATTTACTGGTGTGGAGATGGGGAAAATGAAAAGAAAACAATGGGCTGAGTGTTATAGGAGTACTTACTGCTCTCTCTTTGGTCGTGCATTTCTTTCACCATTTACTCATGCCTTCAATATGCACACATGTTATCACAGACCCCTTTGCCATAAATTGCAAGTGAAAAGTGTGAACTTTTTTTTCAATTATTTTTTTTGGGTTCCAAAATTTGATTTTGATGCTTCCTCTGGTGTGTGTTCACCATTCGCCACAAACTTTTAATATTTTTTTTTGCCCCCCCCCCCTCTCTCTATATCTGTATATCTTTCTTGATTCTTTATTTTATGCATTTCCCAGATGATTTTGTGGTTTTATAATAGTGGAGTTCATTTGTATTGACACCTCCCTTTTTTTGTCTTCTTGTTTCTTCTCTCCAATTCTGCTCTTTTTTTCCTCATATTTGAAGATCTCAAACTGGTCTTTTTTTTGTTGTTTGTTTTTGGGTTAGATTTTGATGCTTTGAATCACAGTTCAGCATCAAGTTCAATTCTTTCTCTCTTTCAGGAAAAAAAACTGGATCTTTCTCCAGTTTTTCATCTTTAAAAAAAGAATTCTAAATTTTACAGTTTGATCTTCTGGTCACACTCTCTTGAGCTTGGGAAGTGAACTGTGATTCATCTTTGTTGCTGGGTACTCATAAAATTATATGGAGAGTGAGAGAAGACAAGTTACAAACTGGTAATCAATCTTCAAAGTTCTGATTTTTACTCCAACCCTTTTGCTATGGATTCTTACTGTGTATGAATCTTGAAAATTACTCATATTTCACCAACCAGATAAGATGAATTTGACTTCCTCCTCACCTTCTTGAATAGGCTTTTTAGGTTCAAACTAAAATTCCTCCCACATTCTGTTCACTCATTTCATCCAATTTTCTGGAAAAAAAATCATGTCATCCAAGAAATGTTTTTTATATAAATAAAAATTTTCTTTACTTTTTAAATTTTAATTTTTATATTATTTTTTGAAATTTGCAGATTGACTGTACATGTGGATAAGTGACAGTAATTCACTCAAAATGGCAGCCTGAAAGCAATGCCAGCTCAGAAATGATTTGCACTGCAAATGATTTACTGGGTTGGAAGGATTTTCCCAATGGGCTTAGTGTTCTTCTCCTTGATGAAGATACTAATTTTGCTGCTCAGATGAAATCCAGGCTTGAGGACATGAAGTATATAGGTAAAAACCTGTTTTTTTTTTTTTTTAATTTTCAGTTTTTTACTCTTTGATAATTTTCTTCCTTGATCTTGCACTTACCTCTCATTTCTTATGGTAAATCTATCTTAAGGGCGTGTTTGGTTGGTGAGCTTTTCCATTTTTAACTTTCTATAACCTTCCATTGATAGTACTGTATTAGCTTAGTCAGAAGTACAATGAAGTTTGATTTTGAGATCTGTGGATGCATTTACTTGAATGACATCTTTCTTTGTTGTTGTTTGTCCTTTGTGCCCTGTCACTCTGCAAGTTGGTTCTCTAGTGGGCCCCACGCCGGAGTTACAGTCACACCACAGATGACATCGTCGTAAAAAAACATATTGTGTGTTAAATTGTTAACATGAGTTTCATAACACTTTTCTCTTGCAGTTTCATGGTTCCAAAATGAGAATGAAGCTTTGCTTGCAATCACAAGTAAATCAATGCAATTTCATGTTGCTATTGTAGAGGTACTTATTGTTATCATTATTTTAATTGTTATTATTTTTAGATTATTGTAATTGTTATAAAGATACCCAAAAACTCAAATGCAGTCTATATAATTGTTACATGAAAACCTTCATCATTTGGATTTTGACTTTGAAAATAAAAAAGGTTGTGATGAGTAGTGGAACAAGAATTATTATGCTTGTGACCCAAATTATGTGCCTTTCTCTAGGCAAAGGTGAATTGTGAAAATAATTTTGATTTGGGTATGAAGAGATTGAGCAAGAATGGGTTTGGTGAATGGGTATGTGGGGTAAAGTATGAAAAGGTGCTTTTACTGTCATATTTTTACTTATATTAATTTTTTTGCAGGTAAATACTAGCAAAAGCAATGAGGTATACAAGTTTCTTGAAACTGCTAAAGATTTGCCCACAATATGTAAGTTGTACACATTATTATAACTTCTTTTGTGTCTTCATTTTAGAGAAAGGAATGAATGGCCCACAGGCCACAACTCTTCTATTGTTTCTAAACAAATTATAACCATAAAGTTTTCAACTTTTAACATTTTCCTTAAATTTTGTGAAAATCAAACAAAGACGTTTTTTGTAGGACTGAGGGATTATTTAAGAAAAGTGCCAAGGAAATTTCTTTTTTGATGTTTGGTTTTACAATGGAAAATGCGAAGGAAAATGAAATATGATTGGTTTTTACAAAGAAATCTTACGTTTAGATTTCTGGTCTTTATATTACGTAAATAATTGCTCCGTAAATAAATGATTTTGAACAAAAATCTCAGAGAATTGCATTTTGAGTCATCCATTCATTTCTTTCCTTTTCATCTTTCTACCTTGTATTCTTTTTTGTCTGCACAAGCCTCTTCTTAACTCTAATGCCATGTTTCTATCTCAACATTACAGTGATGTCAAATGTGCACTGCCTTAACACCATGATGAAGTGCATAGCGGTGAGAGATCTTTGCTCAAATTCAACACTTCGTTTTGCACATTTATATTACAAGAACATTAAAGATCACTACTTTTTATGCTAAAAAAACGCACGTGTTTGATAACTGCAGCTCGGCGCTGTTGAGTTTCTTCAGAAACCGTTATCAGATGACAAGCTAAGGAACATTTGGCAACATGCCCTTCACAAGGTTTGATGATTTGTAATGGGCTTTCTCTTGAAACAATGTGCTAAAGAGTGTGCCCTAAGCTTCTTGATGATACCAATATTAGTTCGCTTTTAAGTGACCTCTTGATACCAATATAGACATGACGTATGTCCACATTCGTTCAACTTTGATCTGTCACAAAAGTCATAATGAGTCAGTTAAAAGTGAATGGTGTGAGTGACTAGTAGTCTACTACAAAGTATAAGCTCGTATTGTATTTATTTATTTGATATATGAACATAATTACTTTTGTAATGTTTTAGTAATCATATTCTTAACATTTGAATACTTACATTGTCTTAACAGGCATTCAATGCCGGCGGGAAGGACGTGTCCGAATCCCTAAAACCAGTCAAAGCATCTGTAGTTACAATGCTGCAGATACAATGCCCCAATGAGAGCGAACAATCAAACAATTCAGCTCAGGAAAACAAGTGTCCAGCCCCTTCAACTCCACAGCTCAAACAAGGAATAAGATCAACCGATGACCAAACACAGGAAAGCAGCATGGAGCAAGAAGGGGAATATAAATTCGTCGAAACTACTTTTAGTGATTCCGTTTTTGAAACAGCTCCCCCGGGAGTGGATGATGATGATGTGGTGAAGCGAGAACGTGAATCGAGCTCCGAAAATACGGGGCAAAACGGTAATTCTAACCGTTGTGAGAGGAGTAAGGATGCCCGTGGCAGCCGTAAAAAAACACTGGGTGTCAATGCTTCAAGTGAGACTACAAAGGCTTATAAAAGGAAGTTAAAGGTGAGATCATTGATTACTTATTCTGCACACCCACACCCACACCTTACCTTTTGTGGGATTTTACGGGTTTGTTGGTGTTTGGTTGCCCAGGTCGATTGGACACCCGAACTACACAAGAAATTTGTACAAGCGGTCGAGCAACTTGGTCTTGATCAGGCCATTCCTTCGCGAATTCTTGAACTGATGAAAGTCGAAGGCTTGACGAGGCATAATGTAGCCAGCCATCTACAGGTATACACACACAACGCACACATATAAATTTGAGAGTCATAATATGACACCTGGCTCACTTGGGGACCCTGAAGTGCATCGTTCAAACAGAGCAGCTCCCAAATGGACCGGTGTCATATTATGACACCAGCCCTTGATGTCAAAAGAATCCCCCAAATACAATAAAATTGGAAGCAAGCAATGCTGTTCTTAAGATTATGTTAACTGTGTTTTTTTTTCCTTTATAAACAGAAGTACAGAATGCATCGCCGGCAAATATTACCGAAACAAGATGAGAGGAGATGGCTTATATCAAGAGACCCAGCACAAAGGACTTGTTATCCGCACAAGCTGCCCGTGATGGCTTTCCCTCAGCACCATCATTCTGTCAATCCCCTGCCCGCCGGGCAGTTCTATCCCCCCTGGGTACCGCCGGGCAGCTATCCCGGTGTCCATGTCTGGGGTTCACCTTTCCCCTATCCCGAGTGGCAGCGCCCAGAGGATTGGAACTGGAAAACCAACGCTGCAGGGGTTAGTACTATTACTGTTCACCCGAATAGTCACGCCTCTTATTTCGACAAACTTTTAAAGTATGCATAACGCATTTGGACTAACTGTTGGTTGTTTTTTTAAGGTTTATGGTCATGCATGGGGCTGCCCTATTCTGCCACCACCTCAGGGATCATCATATCCAACCTATCCTCAGGTTAAAAACTTTGTATGCTAGATTACATTTACAATACAATCTCTAAGCACTTGTTTAGTTGGGGATTTCTAAGAGGATGGAGTAAAGATAAAAATGTATGCAAATCTCAACATTTCTCAACCATCCAAAGAATGGATAAATCAATAAAAAAGAAAAAACTCGAGCTTGTGGTTGAAACAGTAAAACTAATAAACCGGTTAATTTTGGATGGAATTTGATCATATCACGTCGAATAAAATTTGCAGAACGCATTGGTGCATTGCTCTAGTGGCGGGGCACAAGGTAGATACAACATGCTAGGGAAAGCGTTTGATGTTCATCCGGTAAATTTGTGCTATTTATGTTTCTCTCTCTTTTTTGCTTGTTATGTGATGTTCCTCTTGGTTAATAAAAATAAAACTTTGAGTTTCACTCGATAATCGTGTCTCACAATCAATAACCGTGTGTGCATGATTGTCTTGTGGTGTCAACTTTGGTATCACTCTTGATGTTAAAAGTAGCATTTTCTTTAAAAAAGAAAAACAATTATATAGTTAGTTGTGATGACTGATGAGAGTTGTTACAGGCAGAAGAGGTGATTGACAGCATAGTGAAAGAGGCAATAAACAACCCATGGCTTCCCCTACCTTTGGGACTCAACCCTCCTTCAACAGACAGTGTCCTATGTGAGCTCTCTAAACAAGGCATCTCCACCATCCCTCCACTAATCAACGGCTCGGATTCGCGCTGACGTGGCGATACCCCCTCCTCGTGCATGGATCAACGACCTCGGGCAGCATGGGCCGAACCGAGAACACAAAAAATTTGGGCCAGGAAGGATGAAGCCGACCACCCTATAGGAAGATCCGTGTCCATGCCCACAGATGTGGGCTTGGGCCAAATTTGAGCATATTCATGTAAATAAAACTTGCACCGGGCCATTATTGGCCCGATTTGAACAGACTTATGCTGTCATTTATTTGGTCTTCCATTTAGATCCGGCCCAGCTGTCTCTTGCTATGGTTGTAGCAAAGAGGCCATGCAAAATTGGAAATAATGCTTCGGATGATCATTAGGCATATCAGCATATGCTAATGTATGTACAATGCACTCCCTTATAAATGAATAATTCATGCCTTTTTTTTATGGTCATTTTTTCGTCTTTGTATTGTCTTGATGTTCAAACTTTGGTTAGACAATGCATATTAATTGGTTAGGGAGACAACAACAATAACATAGAAGAATATAATCCTACTTAGTAAGGTTTGAGGAGATTGTGTTTATGCATATTTTACCTTACTCGAAAGTAGAGAGACATATTGGATAAGAAGGCATATTCTTAGTTTTAGCTTGATAAAAGTTTAAAACCAAAATTACACTTTGGGTACCTTTGCTTCTTACCATAGTTTGTTTGTTCCAAATTTAGATTTTTATATTATTTGATCGTAAATAATACGAATGATGAAATTCGTGAGTTGAGTATTAGGCAGAGAAGATAAAAGTCTTTTTTAAGAGTTCATTTGGAAAGATGGAAAATACCTCGTAATTTCATTGTTCGATGTGTGGTTGAAAACATGATGAGTGTCAATCTAAAAAAAAGAATTAGTTTTTGTTGTGGTAAAAAACATCATGAGTGTCAATTTAAGAAATTAGAATAAGATAGATTCTCCATCCAAAAAATGACTTTTAAAATAACCAAACATAACAAATGACTTTTAAAATAAAAAAACAAATCATGAATCAAAGATGAACTATAATTGACGGGATGGTAGGGTGTGTTCGAGTCACGGCAGGTGAAGGAATTTACCAGCGGTTAAAGGGAATATGAATGATCAATTATACGAATACGACAACAAAGCACCCGAATCATGGGAACCAAGGATATCTTATTCTCAAACAATGCACCAATACAAATTTCTTTGGGATCTGCTAGGGGTACACCACCCCAAATGTACACCACTCTCCTTTCTACCATTCATTTTATTTTGTTTTTATTTTATTTTATTTTTTTATTTTTCTTACTTTTTTTGTGTGGTGATGGAGGGGGTGGGGATGTTTGGGGTACACTTTTGGTGTACTCCTAGCATTTTCCAATTTCTTTTATTAAATCTTCTCCGAGAACAAATTGACATTCTTCAAATTAATGATAAACAATACAATGTGGAAGAGAGAGATGGAGATGTGAGGAGCGGACCCGCCAACCATATGCAAAAAGGCGTCGACGGTATCTTCGTCCTCCATTTCCAATCCCTCCGGCGTATCGCCGGCCTGGACCCGCTTGCCGTCGACGAAGAATCGAATCGTCGAGAAATCCAATTCTTCCAGCTTGCAGTAGCGGACGAGGGCCGTCTGGATCGCTTCGTCCTTCCTGATCGTGAAGTAGTGATCGCGCTGGTACTCCATCTGGACCTTTATTCTTACGTAGCCGGGCTCTGTTTTCACTGCCGCGCCGCCGTACATTGTTGATTACCGATTGCTCTATTTCCTCCTCCTTCTTCCCGGCGATGTCGATGATTGCTCAGATCTGGTAAGTTCACCTCTTCTTCTAGGTTTAAATATTGCTCCATAGTAGGGTTCATCGGGAAGTCCGGCCAGTTTTTGGTGTTTCGATCTAAGATTTTTCGGAAATCCATGTTTCCTTGTTGAAATTCGTATTCGCTGGTGCCGAATTCGAGGTTTGATGATGTGAGTTTTAGATGAATTCCAGGCCATGCGCAGAGAGAACTCAATCTTGGAACCCAGCGTTCATACTAAACGCTTGTAGACCCAATTCAAAATTAATCTGTAGACCCTTGTTTTCAATGAGGGAAAATGAATTTGATGTTTGTTGTTGAAGAAAATATTTTTCAGAAAAATTTTGATTTTATTTTTCTAAGTTTGGTAATATTTGGTTTGAAAATATTTGAGTACATTGCACAGGTTTCATGCAATTCAATAATGATTATGAACATAAATTTCAAACCTAAAGAACACGTAAACAAAGGAAATTACCCTCAAGTTACATTCTTCCAAATCATAGGGGCATCCAATCCATCCATGCTGATATAGTGATATCTTATTTTTTTCTTTTTTAAACTCTTTTTTTTTATCTTTTTGTTTCCTTTTCCGAGACAAGTTTTTTAAATTTCTTTTCAATATTTATAATGTTTTAAAACATTCAAAATTTTGTGTTTGAAATGAGAACAAAAAAAATTAACATATACTTCATCTATCTCAAATTAAATATTTTCACTTTCTGTTTTCTAAAATAACTTTTTAATAAGAAAATCCAGAAAAAAATAAATATATAGAAAAATGAAATCAAAATAATTGAAACATGCAAAAAAGAATCTTATGCAAATAAAAAAGTCCATAGAATTGAGATATCTAAAAGGAAATCCATTTTCAGTTTTTGTTTTATTTTATTCATCATTTTTGGAAGTTTTCAGAATAATTTTTTACTTTTTTATTTGAAGAAATAAAAAAAATTGTTAATTTGAAACGTACATATGCAGTATATGTTAATTATTTTTTTCAAACAATTAAATATTGAGAACATTACAACAACAATTTTAATAAAAATTTAAAAAACCTTGAATAATAAAATAAACAAATAAAGAAAGGGGGGGGGAAGAAAAATAAGAAATGAGCATTAGTGTCCCGTATTATGGTTTGGAAAAATATATGTAATGGAGTTAAGTTTTTAATTTAAACTTTTACCATGCAATGCACGAGTTTGAATAAAGTATATATAGAAAATATAAAGCTCTGTTTGACATCAGCGTTAGAAGATAGTGTTGGCATGTTGAAAAGATTATACGATGGTAGCTTCGGCGTTAATGTTTTCTAATTAATTTACTCCCTCCGTCCTAGAATGATCTTCCCGGATTGACCGAAGTCCATTTTTAAGGCAAAGTTAAATATGGCTTTGACTTCCATAATGCCCTTTCATCAAGCTTGGAAGGAGAGGCGCTGCTACGAAAATAAGGATTTTGTATGAGTTCTTCAAACACAAATTATATGAAAATATGTCAGATTGATGGACTTGCCTAGCGGAAGAGAGGACGGCCGCAATTGTTGGTATGACGCATAAGGAAACCATTTTGGATTGAATAAAGAATTAAAGAGATAAGAGAATTGAGGTTTTCAATTTTCATTGAGCCCTGGATTATGTCTCTTTCATGGTCGTGTGAAGACACCAAAGCCGCCGGCGAGCACAACAATCTTGGCTCCTGCGAGCCGTGCCTTAAGCAGCCACCGCACAACCACCGGCGAGCACCGTCGGACACAGATCTACGGTTTTATAGGGAGGGGGAAGATAGACAAAGAGAGAAAGGGTAAATTGGGAGAGGGGAGACAGCACATCCGCCGACGAGCGGAGACAGATCTAGGGTACTGCTTTTGGAGAGTAAAGAGAAATAAATGGAGAGAAGGTGAATTGAGAGAGGAGATACAGAGGATGGTTGAGGCGTGGGGAGTGAATATTGCAAGGCTATAATAGTCATTATACATCTTTTTTTTTGGGAGTAGAAAGGTAGTTTTAGGACGGAGAAAAAAAGGAACTGGGAAAATGGTTTTAGGACGGAGGGAACACATCATTAAAATTTAATCTAAAACGTTAAAGGCAATCTAAAATATTGTTACCAAACAAGACCAAAAGGCTAAATTGAAAAAATGTACTGTGCATAATCATGCAAAATCAATTTGGAACATAATCAATTTTAGATATAATCGATTTCAGGTATTATTGATTTCAGATCCTATCATTTTTGAGCCTTATCGATATCAGTTATTATCAGTTTCGGATATTATTGGTTTCAAGTTTAATTGGTTGAATGTAATCGGTTTCAAATTTGAATCAGGTATGAAAGTATTTTATTCGGTTTTGCTGCAGTTCAGATCATTTCAGATTTTCAATTATAGATCAAACCTTCACTATTTCAATTTCGGGTCATTCGGTTCCGGTTTTGTTCTGGGTGTGTAAGTGCCTGTTTGAAAATAGCGTTAGAGATTAACATTAGCGTTTTGGATAAAATTTTAATGGTTTAGATTATTTTGAAAAATGTTAACATTAAACGCTTTCCGTAGATCAAAACACTAACTCTGATTTCTAACTTTCTAACGTTATTACCAGCCCTAAGTATAACCTTATTATCTCTGTTAGGGCATGTATAACTTTGAACCGGACGTGAAACTGAGCCTGATCGCTCAGCAGCCTTTGGGCAGGTGATCCCACCCCCTGAATTTGCACGCAAGACCGAAGAGGGAGAGAAGATGGGACGTGAAATCGAGCCTGATCGTGGCAGCGATGCGGCGGCGGAGGCGCAGCTAGAAATCAATTTGAGAGTTATCGGTCCAACCCCGCCCTTTCGCCTCGCCCTTCCGTCTTCCATCAAAGTAAGAATGCAATTACCGCCGTTACTATGCCGATTACGCAATTCGTATCGAGTCTGTGTTTTTTGATTTCATTTTCTGCAGTTATGTTTGTGAAATACTCCGTATATTATTTTTTTTTCTCTGGATTGCCAGTTTGGCGAGAAAAGTACACAAAAGGAATACATGTTTTCAATTCAATTAGGAGAAAGGTTGAGTGTATGTTCATAGATTAAGTTTTTTACTGCTATAATAGAGCTGGATTTAGAGTGAATGATATGAGTATGATGTTGGTTGATAAATATGTTCTGATTTAGAGCTGAATTTTCTAATGGGGAATTTGATGGAACACTATGTTGCAACTATTTTAGAATAGAGGAAGTATGTTTTGAGGGTGCTGGTTGAAGATGTTTATGATTTAGTTTGTGCATCTGCAAGCATGACCATTCTATTCTAATGTTACAGCTATTTTAGATGTATGATATATATCCAATGGGATTTGTGGTCATGACTCAGATTTTTGTTGAAAGCACGAGATGACCTTTCAATATTTTTTTCTTTTAAAATTTCACTATGAATAAGTGTTCTTTTTATATCTATCACTAGTAAAGATCTACTTTTGCATGATACTTTTAATTGTATTTGCATGTTATTTAAAATTTGATGGAATTTGACCAAAGAAATGCCTTAAGTTTGTAGGTTGTGTGATGTACTGATGTCTAGCGATGCTTGTATGATAGGACATTTTCTTTGTGTCAATAAAAAACAGGTGCATGATTTAAGAAGAATAGTTGCAAAACACCGCCAATTGCCTATTGAAGATTTGAAGCTTGTTTTGCGAGGAAGTGTATTGCATGACAAACAAAATGGGGAGGATCTAACTATTCAGTTCAATGATGGAGGTCTGTTTTGTAAGGAAGTATAATTCATAACCTCATTATCTAAATTATATTTTTCGCTTCTGGATGTCTGTAATAGTCCAAAGTTATTTTTACTTTATAAGGATTATAATTCAAGCATTATAAGTACATTTACAAACATTTATTAAATGGGGGGGGATGAGGGGGCTTCTATATGTAGAATACTGTAGGTGTTTCTGATGGTTTGATGTTCCCTTCAAGCGTCTAATTGTTTTTCTATTTCCTTGGATATTTTGCTACTTTTTAAAGTGACAAATTTTCCATAGGTGTAATGTGTAATCTGATGGTTTTCTAGATTCTTTGATCATTGCCGTAAAACCAAAGTCTCCTCCCAAACATGTACGGGATGAATTTGATGACGATGATGATGATCTGGTATTATTGTTATTCATTAACCCAATCTTTGCTTAGGATTTACTTGCATCTGTGATATGAATAAATTCTCATAGATCCTTTTTGTTGGATTTTAGAAGTTCCATCTACCCCAATCAAGTAGTAGGTTTAAAAAGAAGCTTTTCTTTATATTACGGGAGAAATTGAAGCTTCCAGGTAACAGCCAAACCTTTTTCACTGACATTGTTTTTCCAAAAACTACTCTCTTCTGAACACCCTTCCTTCCTGTAGATATTCTTTTGATGGCAGTTTTCTCAATCAGCTTGAAGATCTGGGCTATAATTGTTATCTGGTTTATTCTAGCACCTATTGCCCATCGGTTTGGCATTGGACCATTATATGTAAGTACAGTTCAAGGTTTTAAGTACCCTCGTGTTTAAGTCAAGACTGCAATATATGTTTGGTGTCTATTCTTAGATCCATGTATGTTTATTCAATAAGGTATCTTTCAGTTGTTCACCTGTCACCATTATATTCACTATCCTTTATCATGTGTAGAGAGCCGATGTAATCTTCCAAAGACTCTTCTTGGCATGCTCTGTAGGATTAATACATTAGGTTTTAAGCAACTAGTCATTGTAGCTGGTAATCCCAATACATAATTCATGTGCTTACTGTTTGAAAACAGATCATGGCCCGCTTGGTAGCAATAATCATCTTATTCTTTTTATCAGCATAACAAGCAGATTAGTGGCACTATTGACTTGCTTATTTGGTTGAAATGGATTTAGCCATGATCAGCCAAGGCCCCATAATATGCATTGGAAACAAAGGATATTCATATTTATAAAAATAGCTTTGCTTGGTCAAATTTTCAATTTTTAAAACTTGATTTATGCTGCATCATTAAACACGCTCTCAGATAAGAGAAACATGATGTTCTTTATCATACGTTATACCAATATGTTTTATGAAGTGCATATCCATACTTTTTTTTCAACATATTTGACAAATTACATGAAATAATTTTAGCTTATCTAACCAAGCTTGTGTTTAAAGCATGAGTCTTTTTTTGGCCGAACAGAGTGAGCATTTAGTTAATTGTTTTCAACAATTGCATCTACAGATACTTGGGACAGGGTTTGGAATTGTGTTCTATAATCTTGGACAGCGGCAGCATGGAGAGCTCAGGTAAATGACGATGCGATGAAAAAGGAAACACAAAAACTTTTGTCATATCATTGTCTAACATGAACTTATTTGTCGTTCTCTATCATGTCAGTGCATACTCTATATTCAACGAAGATTTCAGAGAACTCCCCGGAACCCTAAACGCAGATCGCATTGACAGAGATATTCGGGCGGGTCAGTTTTGAAAGTCACAAATTAATGATCTTTCACAAGAGATTAGTGAGGGCTCTCAAATTTGTGGGTGTATCTTCTACACATTTTTGTTACATGCTTGTAGCTATGGGGAATGGTCTTCTCCTTTGTACAGTGTAGCAATATTTGTTCACGGTGTATGAAAATCAACATTTGTTCGTATTTTGATGATGAGAGATTTATATGGTATTTGTACATGTCTTTCAAACCACTTAAGGATGGAAATTTGATGTGGGAAAGCTTGGGACATAGGATTTTTATTTAAAATGTTCATCCACACGAACTGTTTGTGATGGACATCGGGTTCCTAAAGTGGGTCGAAAAGGCCCAAGCATAGGGCTGTTCACATTTAGGTCCGGACCGAAAAAACCGACCGAACCGGACCGATAGGTCCAGACCGAATGGATTTCGGGTCGGTCTTCGGTCCAGAAAATTTTGGCATTCGGGTTTCGGTCCGGTCCGGTCCAAACCCGAAATGATTTAGGTCCGGACCGATTGGACCGGTTGGACCTAATGATCTACTGGACCTAAAAGACCTAAATACTAAAACTCTACTTTTTAAATTTCGTATTACACTTTGATGCTCTATTTTAATAAATATTTTAATTTATTTAATTTAAAGTGTTTTTTATTAAGTAATTTTAAAAAAATCTTTAAAAAAAACATTTCATATTTGTTTTTATGGTTCTACATTGAAGTAGTTCATATTGTTTATCCATTTTAAAGCTGCCTATTTTTTTATTCATTTTCTATTTGAATGGTACAAANCTACTGGACCTAAAAGACCTAAATACTAAAACTCTACTTTTTAAATTTCGTATTACACTTTGATGCTCTATTTTAATAAATATTTTAATTTATTTAATTTAAAGTGTTTTTTATTAAGTAATTTTAAAAAAATCTTTAAAAAAAACATTTCATATTTGTTTTTATGGTTCTACATTGAAGTAGTTCATATTGTTTATCCATTTTAAAGCTGCCTATTTTTTTATTCATTTTCTATTTGAATGGTACAAAGTAAAAAGTCTAAAATATATTTAATTGATCAAAATAATTAAAAAAATATAATTTTTTCGGTCCAATCGGTCCGGACTGGTTCGGTCCTAAATATTTCGGTCCGGTCCGGTCCAAACCCGAATGGATTTAGGTCCGGTCTTTGGTCCAAGAATTTACTCATTTTGGTCTTCGGTCCGGTCCGGGTCAGTCCGGTTCGGTCCGGTCTTGGACCGATGAACAGCTCTACGGCCAAGCATGTTCTTTTGAGCCCGACACAGCTAAGGGACCTGATCCAGGCTATGGAGAGACACGGGCCCAAGAACGGAATAGAACCAAGGGCCGAGGCCAGCCCAAAGAATTAAATAAGGGAGGAAAGCATGGAGCACAACACACTCAATCATGGGGGATTTGGAGGAGAGTGCTCACGGATTTCTCGTCCGTAATTGAAGCACGATCGGCTAGTCTTTTCGAAAATACAACACACACTTGATTTACCATAAGCATGATAGCATTAGACTATAAATAAAGGATGAAAACCTCATTGTAGATCATGTAGAACCAAGCTAATACAAGTGTTTCTCGAGAGATATTTGTCGAGAGTTTATATTATTCTATTATCGGTTCTTCGTACCATCATAGTTGTTGGGTTAAATCCCATCAGCTTGATTTGCATGGCCTATAGATGATGTAATTTCATTAGAATCGTGATTGTTAACATATTAACTAAATAAAAGTTTGAACTTCTGATTGATGGTACACAAATATTTTTAAACTTCAATATGCTCTTCACGTATAGATGAAATTCTATTTGTTTGAACATTGATTTTTTTAAAATTCTTTTAACATTTTTTTACCTCCCATTTTTTCCAACTATATCTAACTTCTTTCAATATCTAATTTTGAAATTTCTACTCAAAAAAATATGGTCTAAATGATTGAGCTTAAATTGGGTTGGTTAAATATGTATAATTGCCACTTTGAACTCATAATTCTAGTAGTGTTACACTCTTACCTCTCCCATGACAAAAAAAAGTAAGAGCGGAATATTTCCATTTCATACTTGACAAAGTATTCGGCACAAATTTAAATATTTATTCTTTATTATACACTTTGAACTAAGTACATAGTACTTGTGTTAGCCTTTTTTTGTCTCAACCGCAATTATAGAGTCAACATAAATCTTATTTTCGTAAGTTTTTATCTATAGTTTTTGAAAATAATATAATAATGTCACTCTTTTTTTTTTAGATTTTTTATTTAGTTATATATATATATATATATATATATATAAATTTTTTTATCTACTTTTTAAATATATAATTTTTATCTATAGTTTTTGAAAATCGTGTCTAATGTAATTAGAAATATAAAATTAAGATGTTGAATATGAAATAAATGTGCTATCTCAACAAATTAGAGGTACAAATTATGTTCAAGGATCATTTCCAAAATAAAAAAATTTATAAAGATGACTTTAAAAAAATATTTTAAAAGAACAAAAAACAAAAACACCTATTTCACATAGACTATAAATATATTTAACCCTTAATTTTAATCAAAGATGAGAAAAGCGTATTTAAAAATAGTATGTAGAATAGATTTTTCATTGTCTAGTTGGCAATATATGAAATGCATGATGGGTGAAAGAAAAAAAAGTAGGAATTCATTTATTTATTTGACTAAATTAAAAGTGAAAGTGTATTAATTTGCTTTAAGGATCACTCTACACTCTGTGGTTGAGGTCAAAGTATAAATCCAATTTAAGATTCTTTCTTTTATATTATGTTTTTTTAACTCAATTTGGGCAAGCTAAAAAAGCTAAGCAATTCTTAGTCACATCAACCATTTGATGTAGAGTTTGATCATTTTCACGAAACCACTCGTACAATCCTTGTTTGAATTTCATTGATTATTTTTTGTTTCTTTAGCCTCTAGAATTAATTGTAATTTATTTATATTTAAGAAAAACAAATTATTACCGAGCATGATTTATCATAAATACCCCATAAATGATATAAACCAACATCGAGAACAAGTTAGTGTCAATGTTTTTTTTGGGTATTTTACCTTCACTCCCTACAATCATTTTGTTGTATTCTGAAAAATGAAGAATTTAATTCTGATATAAATAAGATAAAACAATCAAAATTATCAAATATAGTTATATTTTTAGATTTGTTTATAGGTTTAGCTAAATTTAACACACTAAAATTGTTCACAACACTTATTTACATGATAATGCACATTAAACATTTTAGGACGAAGGGATTAACAAAAAAAGATTTGAAATTAACGGGTTAAAATTCATCATAGAACAATAGATAAAATTCTGAAAATAGTGATAAAATTCTATCCGAAATATGAATCGATTTCAAGAAAACAAAATGAAAGTGTGAATAAATATAGTAATAAAAACAAAGAGTAAATTCTATAATTGGTCCTTTATAACATGAGGGTTTTCCTATTTAATCCTCTATTATCAAATATTACTCAAGTGGTCCTTCTTTTATGGGTACCTTTCCATAAATAGTCCTTTTTTGATCTTCTATCATGTTGGTGTTAATTTGAAGGCTAAAAGTGTAATTTCATAATGATAATATATCTTTTTTGTCATACACAATTCCAAAGGCTGTTCCGTTTGCGTCGTTTGTGAATTACAGTCGCTTTTTACGACAATTATAGTCTACAAATGTGATCTTTCGTTAGAGTTCTAGCCCACAATTATAGTCATTATTTTTGTGTTATCCACTTAACCAATATCAGAACACATCACTAGACATAATGTTGACGTCAAATTATACTTTTAGCCTTTAAATTAAAACCAACACGGCAGAAGATCAAAAAAAGGATCATTTGTGGAAAGGTACCCTTAAAAAAGGACTACGGAAGTAATATTTGATAATAGAGGACTAAATATGGAAACTCCCATGTTATAAAGGACTAATTATGGAATTTACTCAAAAACAAAAGATAAATTTTGTTATCAAGTCAACAACACTCAAAACAAAAAAAATATGAATTTGGTGGCTTGGCATAAAGATAAAGATACATTAATTGAATTGAAGATTTCAGCGTTCCTTTTATGTCTTCTTCTTTTTATTTTTGTGCAACTTTTTATGTCTTGTTATTATCATTATATCAATAGTCAATACAAATCTACACCATTTTCCACATCAGTTTCTCCTTTTGATTTTCCAGGCCAAAAGAAAAAGGAGCCATAGCCTGGGAACCTCCTTCAAAAATCATGAACTATGACTCCCAAATGGATAAGGTTTAGTTTGACTCTCCAATTTTTGCCACTAAGGGCCTATTTGGGAATAGCTTAGAGATAAGCGTTACGTTTTAGATAAAATTTTAACGGTGCAAATTACTTTGAAAACGCTAACGCTAAAAGCTACCCGTAGATAGCCTTTTCAAAACGCTAACGCTTATTCTCTAACACTATTTTCAAACAGACTCTAAGATATGTCAAAAAAACTTAATCTAAATAAGACTAAAACGTAAAACTTATAATAAAATAAGACTTCCTATATTTTCTTTAAAGAGTTTTTTTGCACTATTTATTTCTGAATTTTTTAAAAATTGCATTGATTGACGATTTTTAAAAATTGCAGCAATACCTCCTGAACTTTTAAAAAATGTTACATCAATGATACCTCTATGCTTATAAATCTTATTTTTATATAAGAATATTGAAGATGTATCTCTGTATTTTGGTATATCGAAGATGTTTTAGAAGTAAAACATGTCTTTGTACCCATATTGACCAGTTGAGCTACGCCCCAGACAGAAAGTGTATTTGAGTGTGATGGTAAATGCAAAGGAAGTCCTTAGACTTTTGTTTGTTTGATTGATACAGCTAATTATACACTCTTTATATTGTCAAAGAAGAATTATACACTCTTTATATTTGAATTGCGAGGATAGACTATTGAAATAATTTGAAGACTGTTAAAGCGAGTCCGACAACATGGGATGGTTTCAAATTTGAAAGGCCAAAGTGGTCTCTTTCTCTTTAAACAAAAATGGAAAGCAGTAATAAAAAACAGTAAAAAACAACATAAATCAATTTGACCACTCATTGGAGGACTTGCAATCTGTTCGGTTGACCATCCATTTGTGGGCCCACATTTCCAACCATGTCACTCAACCATGGTTATGAAATACTATAATGATGGCAAAACTTGAGGTGATAGGGTACAGGACGATGGACCGAACGAAAGACTATAATG